CTCTGTACTTTCCGCCACCCTCGGGCTCAGAAAATTCCTCCAGTGGGTGGGAGGCAGGTCAGGGAGAGGCTGTCGAGGGGGAAGGGTACTGGGGACTTGAACCTCTAGGGGAACCGAGTCCCAGAGGCAGCCGCCCCAAGCACCTGGAGATCCAAGGGAAAGGGATCCTAGTGGGGAGAGAAGACCCCGAGGCTCAGGCGCCCCGGATTCAGGCTGGAAGGCTCCCCAGGCAACATTCATGGGGGACGGAGTGGGGACGTGCCTGCCTGCCTAGCCCCAGGCCCTGAGTCCCCAGCGTCCCAGCCTGAGGGCCTGCTTGCTGACACCCGTTTGTGTCGATGGCGAGGCCTTGGTATCCTCTGCCTGCCGGGGCCACATCCAAGTATCAGGGTTGCCGTAGCCGCTTCTGGAGAGACCAAGCTCCACGTCGCTCGTCCCCAGCCCTCCCTCCTCACCTGGGGCGGCTGGCGCTGCAGGAGTCCACAGGCCACGGTCAGCCCTCCGGTCGGACTTCCATCGGGTCCTTCTGGTCTACCCTCTCCCTCGGCTCCCCAGCCGCTCAGCAGCACCATCTGCCGCCGCCTAGCGGCGAGGGCCTGACTGCCTGCACCCGCCCTTCAGAGACATGCAGACGCTTAGCGTTCCTTTACATTCAGCATAGTCCCTGCTAATCCCCACAAAGCCCTGTGAGCAGGTACGGTTATCCCCGCTTTGTAGATGAGAAACTGCAGCTCAGATCCCGGGCCACGCGGAGCCAGTCAAGTGGTGGAGCCGAAGTTTAAAGCCACTGACCGGTGCTCCCGCCCTGCACACACCTCCTGGCTCCAGGGTCCTCCGCTCAGTCCTCGTGCCTGTGGCCCTCTCTAGGGACTCAGCCTCAAACCCAGGGCCCGTGTCCTGCAGACCCCACTGAGACCCTGAGCAGGGGACAGAGGCAAGGAGGCGTGTTTTCCGGTTTCTGCAACTGTGTGATTCGGCGCCTCAGTTTCCCCATCTCTCAAAGCAAGGCGGTTTGGACTCAATAACCCGAGGTCTCCTCCAGATCTGGGTCTTTGTGCATCTACGATGCAGGCTCGAGTATCACCCTCCCCACCCCTGTCGTCAGTGCCCCAGCCCTGGGTGGCCCGTGGCCAAGTGCAGCCTCCCAGGGTGAAGCGGTTACTCAAAGGGAAGGTGACCCCACCTCCAGAGCTGCCCTCTAACTCTGTGGCTGGAGGACTCAGAATGTCCAGCCCCGGGAGCCCGCCTCTTGCCCGCCTCGTGTTTGAAGCTGCGGGTGCCCGGAAGAGAGGGTTAAGTTCTGGGTCCCTCCATGGGCCAGGGGAGCCGACTCTGGATTTTCCCAGCCCCTGGGGGGCCTCCCCCACAGAGCCTGAGGCGGGCACACCAGTCACTCATGCTGGAATGTGGCAGAACCGGCTTCCAGCCCCGGACTGCTCCCGTGCGCCCTTGCAGGAGAGGACACCAGGCTAAGGCTCCAGTGGGACCAGGGCCAGAGAGAGCAAGACAAAGGTATCGGGTCCCTTGCCTTCAAGGGGCTTCGAGGAGAAATGGGGCTGAGCCAAGGAACCCTATGGGCACCTCACCTCCAAGCATTTATTAATGCCTTCACTAGCCCGTGATGTTGTGAAGATGCATGGGACAGGCTTAGGTTTGAGGTCAGCGCCTTGGAGGGTGGGTTGG